TGCTGTCTCTCTATAAATATACCTTACATGAAGCCTTTCTGCTGGAGTTTTCAGGAAACATTTCAAATAAAGTAGCCAAGCACATCCCGGGTGAGATGAATGAGATCATTAGGAAACACTTATATCTGAAATAAACCCTGAGCTCATTTCTGCATACAACCCAAGAGCCCTGATTTTTAAAAATATTTCAAACAATGTGTCCCTTTCGAATCATTAGACTTAGACATTTAGGGAACTGATTCAATTAACCCAGAAGAGGATGACGCTATAATGTGTGATTTATTTTTGCAGATAAATTAAAATGCAGTGTATCTGTTCGAAAAGGTAGGCCTATCATCATGGTTAGTAATGGAAATAGGAAGGCAATTAAGCAAGGCCACCTGAGGCTGAAGCAGCCCTGAACACAGACGACACTTCAAGTTCCAGCTGGACATGCTGTTATCGTCAAAACCCAAAATATTCCTTGGCTGGGGGAAAATCTTTGTGCACCAGATTTCCCTGCTGATTTCTGAAGTCTCTCAATTGAACTAAAACTATACTCCCTCCACATTAAAGACAAACAAACAAAAACAGAAGCCTAAATTGCTATGGTTTCATACCTCAAAGTCAAACTGCATAGAAAGCACTAAAATGACAGCTTTGCATTCTGTTCTTTAGGTGAGGAAATATGAGGCAAAAATTATTTTTCTCCTCTCCAGCTCCAGAATATTGGCTCCATCAGGCCAAATAAATAGTTTTCACAAGGAAAGAAATAGGCCGTGCAGTAGCTCACATTCCCCTGTGCAAAGAACGTTTAAATAAGATGTATCCTAAACAATAAATAATTACAGATGGGGGAGGATGTGTCTTGTCTTTTGCTAAAATCAATGAAAATTCTCATTAAATAGTTACTATGTACTCTGCACGGTTCTAGAAATAGAGGAAGGCACATGAGAATTTGAAGGGACAGTCCCTGGGCTCATCGATTAACTGTCTAGTCGAAGAGTGAAGTTTTAAGCCAAAGGAGCCACGAGGGAACCATTCAGACTAGTCTACCATCTGTCACTGCACCAGACCTTGCTAGGTTTATGAGAAGAAGACAGGAGGGCCTTGCCTGCCTTGAGAAGAAAGGACGCTCTTCACATGCTCTATCTCGCCAGGTAACAAACTCCATAACTCCATCATTCATGAATACTGTTTCTCCCAGAAAGGGAGTTCCAAGCCATGACAATGGAACTGGCACTTAGAAAGCAAGAGGTGAGTTAAAGGGTAAAGAGTCCTGAATATGGCTCAGCAGATGAGCGTTTGTGCTGCAGGTGTGACCCTGGATTCAGGCTCTGGTTCTGTAGGAGAAGTATGAGGAGAAGAAGGAAGAGGAGATGATTTCTAGGTTACGTTCTTTAAAAAAGAAAGAGGTGGATTTTTATTTATTTATTTATTTATTTATTTGGCTGGAGCAACAGTGCAGTGGGTAGACACTTAGGCACTTGCCTTATACATAGCCATCCAGGATTTATCCCAGACACCCCATATGGTCCCCCAAGGCCACCAGGACTGATCTCTGAACACAGAGCCAGGAGTAAGCCTTGAGCACAGCGCTGGGTGTGACACAAAACTGTAGCACTGTAGCACTGTCTTCCCATTTTTTTCATCGATTCGCTCGAGCGGGCACCAGTAACGTCTCCATCGTGAGACTTGTTGTTACTGTTTTGGGCATATCAAATACACCACAGGGAGCTTGCCAGGCTCTGCCATGGGGGTGAGATACTCTCGGAAGCTTGCCAGGCTCTGCAAGGCAAATGCCCTAGCCGCTGTGCTATTGCTCCAGCCCCAACATACACTAAATGTTTTCATTTTAGAATTGTTTTTCTGCATCAGAGCTCAGGAGAGTTCCATGAGAAGCAAGATCTCCTGTTTCTTAATGAAAAGTGTTCACACTTTCAAGCCAGGAATGCAGCTCAGTAGTAGAACACTGCCCTGTAAGTGTGAGGTCCTAATTTCAATTCCTGGCACCAAAAGATAAATAAGCAAGGAAATGAAAATATATAGTTTATATCTAGATCAGAAAATTCAAATCCATCTAAAAAGAGATTCACTAGAACTCAATAAAGCAAAATCTAAAAAAAGGCAGAAGCAAAATAGATAATTTTACCATACAGTAAGAAACCTGAAAACAGATTTTTCCTTAATGCACTGAGAAATATTGTGGTAATAGAGATTTTTTTTCTACATGAAATTCAAGACTGAAAGTTATGGGTTTCTACCTATATGGCAACTTGCAAGACTTTTAAACATACGCATCACCTTTGTCCCAGTAATTGTTTTTAATAATCTCTGTAGCACTGTCCTCCCATTGTTCATCAGTTTGCTCAAGCGGGCCCAGTAAAGTCCGAAAGTAGTGAGAGGTCGCAAGGTCAATCTAAAGTCAACCTGCAGCAAACTAGTAATCTCTATGGGGGAAAATTGAAATATAAAGTTTTCATGACAGTATTAACAGTAAAAATCTGAAAACAAGAGATAACAAAACCATGGATAAATCCAAATAGATTATATTGGTCGCCTCCCTCCCTACCCACCCCCCAAAAGCCTGAAATACTGGAAAATATCAAATTATTATTTCCAGAAAATTAGATTGTACACAATTTATCTATTTCCCTTTTTTTGCTTTTATTTTTCTAAGATTAAAGATGAAAAACATGTATTTTAAAAGATAAAACTCAGGACACTAAACTAAATACTAAAAATTAATTTAAAAGAGGGTGAACAATTCTCACGATTTGAAAAGAGCCTAAATGGTGTCCACTCTTTGGTGGTGTTTCCTGGGAATACTAATTTGTCAGATCAATTTAGACAGATTTTGCTATTTTTCTTCCCCAGACTCTTGAGTGGCTTCTTGCTATCTCAGGAATCAGGAGCCTGACAGCTTTGAGTCAATGAGTCAACTGCCCCTTCTCCACCTCGGCCACCCCAAGGGCCAGCACTGCTGTCTCTGCTCTGGGACTCTTCCCCCACCCCTCCTCCCTGCCTCTCTACTCGGGCCTGGCCTCTCCTGCACGCCCAGCTCAAGTGTCAGCTCCTCCAGTGGCTAAGCTCTGCAGAGGTGCAGCCCACTGGGTGCAGGGAAGTTTTTCTTGTGATTTCCTTCCAGAGCCTCAGAGTCAGTAATTCGGCTCCAGGCAGGGGAGAATTTCAAGCTCATTGAGGGTAAGCGCCATGTCCCCTTGAAAATTCAATGTCCTTGGAGAGTTGCTTTACATGTTTCAAGACTTGAGGATCTTCACTGCTACTTTCTCCTCTCTCCTTAGCAACCTCCAAGAACTTAAATTTTCATTCTTCAGTTCCATCCCTAGCACCATCTGAACACCACCCCAAACTTTAAGGAACATTTCTCTCACAAACACCAGCTGTTTTAGTTAAGACACAGTTCTTGACCCTAGAGCCCAAACCCCCTCCTTGTGCGCTAAAACACTTAAACTAAGGTGCAAGGGTACTCAGTGAAAAAAATTCCTCCAGGAACCAGTAAGTAAATGATGGTTAGAGGGATCACTTGGGATGGGAGATGTGTGCTGAAAGTTGACTATGGACCAAACATGATGACCTCTTAGTACCTTCATTGCAAATACCCAAAAGGAGAGAGGGAATAAGAGGAAACGTGCTTGCCACAGAGAGAGAGGGGGTGAGATGGGGTGGGGTACTGAGGGCAAGAGGGATACTGAGAACATTGGTGATGGAGAATGTGCACTGGCGCAGGGATGGGTGAAACTCATCAAACATTGTATGACTGAAGCTCAATCATGAAACTCTGTAAGTCTGTAACTCTGTCTCACGGTGATTCAATCCACAAAAATTTCCTTCAGGTAACTGTGGAGAGAACCTTTAGGGACTGAGAGATGGAAGTGACATTCCTAGACCTCATTCTAGAATATGGTATTCCAGCTTGTTTCAACTATTGTTTAAGCGTCCAGGAATTGAACATGAGCAAGAGAGAAATGGGGCATTAAGGGCTTTGAAATCGCATTGGAGATGAGAATTGGCAGGCTGCTGTCCACTTGCCCTAAAGTGAGGCGAAAATGGGTCCACGAGGGTCTTTATGTGAGTTCCCAGATTCAGTCTGCCCATTCCAAAGTCCGTTCTGGGACGGGGTATCCAGGTTAGGGTTGTATTTGCTAACCTGGAGAATCCCCACTGCTAAAGCGCTACAGAAACGCTTAAATCAAGAGGTTCCGATGGGAGCGGTGCGGATGGAGGTGTCAGAGCGGAAGCGGTTAGGTCAGGAGCCCCGGGTAGCTGTGAGCCCTGTGTAGCACAGAAAGGTACAGGGCGTCTCCGTGCGTTTGGGGCGTGGGACAAAGGATGGGGAGACAAAGCGGAGAAGTGGAGGACGGCACGCCTCTCTCGAGGGGAGCGGGCCAGCGCCGGCCGCGCCAGCGTTCCGGGCCGGCAGGGGGCGGCCGTGGGCGGGAGGAGCCTGGCGAGGTCCCCGCGCGGGGACCGGCTCGCCGGGAGCCTCCCCTTTCCGCGTGGGGCGAGGTTCGCGCACGCCTCCCTGCGGGTCCCCGAGCCCTGGAGGACGCCGCGCCGCGCCGGCCCCGCTCGGAGGAGTAGGGTGCGTGCAGGGGTGGGGGGCGAGCCCGCGAAGGAGCAGAGGGCGCCCGAGGGCGACGGGGGTGCGGGCTCCGCGGCGGGGCCGGGCGGCCGGGGCGTCTCCGCGTGCGCCCCCGCTCCGTCGCGCCTCCCGCGCGCCCCTACCCGCGCCCGCCGCGGCGTCACCCGGCACGGCCGAGCCCGCGGAGGGCGGGGGGTCCGGGGCGCACCCCGACGCCGCGCGGTCGGAGGGCGGCGGGCGGGGCGACGGACCGCGCGCCGTCGAGTCGGGGGGCGGGGGCCCGCGCGGGCGCCCTTGACCACGGGCCGTATGCAAATGCGTGGGGAGGGGGCGCCCGGCGGCCCGCACGTCCAATGAGAAGCGCCCCCGCTTGACACCTGCCTATATACAGGCGAGCGCCCCCGGCCGCGCACCGCGCGCTGCGCCCGCACAGCCCCGCGGGTCGCCGCCACCCGCCACCATGACTTCCAGTAAGATCGAGATGCCCGGCGCGGTGAAGGCCGACCCCGCTGCCCTCGTGGCGTCCCTGCACCTCCTGCCGGCGCCCACCCCCAACCTGGAAATCAAGTACACCAAGGTAAGCCCGGCCGCGCCCCGGCCCTGGACACGCTCCGGGCGCAGTCGGCGAGGGGGCGCCGCCGCGTCCGTCCTCGGGGGTCGGCGTCCGCCCGCTCGGCTCCCGGGGCCTCGCCGGACCCAGCCAACCGCCGCGTCCCCCGGCCCGGCCCGGCCCGGCCCGCCGCGCCCCCGGAGCCCCGCCGCTGCGGCGCGGCCCCGCGGCTCAGGGGCCACCGCGAGGGGCCCGGCCGTCCGGCCTGGGAGCGCGGCGGGGCGGGGCGGGCGCGGGGCGGTGGGCGCGGCGGGCCAGCGGCTCTGCTCGGTGGGGCGCGGGGCGGCGGGGCGGACGCGGGCGCGGGCGCGGGCGCGGGCGCGGGCGGGTGAGCGCGGCTCTACTTGGCGGGGTGCGCGGGGCGGTGGGCGCGGGACACGGGCGCAGGGCGGCGGGCGCGGCGGGGTGGCGGGGCAGTGGGTGCGGGCGCGGGGTGGCCGGCGAGCGGCTCTGCTCGGCGGGGCGCGCTGGGCGATGGGCGCGGCGGGGCGGCGGGCGCGGGGCGCGGGCGCGGGGCAGTGGGCGCGGGCGCGGGCGCGGGCGCGGGGCGGCTGGCGAGCGGTTCTGCCCGGCCGGGCGCGTGGGGCGGTGGGCGCGGCGGGGCGGTGGGCGCGCGGGGCGGTGGGCGCGGCGGGGCGCTTGGTGGGGCCGGCCAGAATCCCGCAGACCTGACGGCTCGCCGTGCGCTCGAGCCACACGCAGCCTCGCCTTCGAATCTGGGAGGCTGCGGCGGTTTGCCTGGGACACGTCTTTGTCAATGCGTGCAAAAAAAGAAGGGGTTCACATTTGAAAAGGAAATTTTTCTTTTTCTTTTTTCTTTTTTTTTTTTCTTTTTTGCAACGAACTCGGACGGTTCGGGTCAGGGGTGAGCAGTGACTTTTTGGTCGTTTCATCGCATGAAGATGAAACAGGCGTTCGCTGCCGGTAGAAACGGAATTTGCTCTCTACCAAGGCGACCAAGAAAGCGGACCAGTTACACAGGTGGGGGGGCTGATCAGGTTATAGCGTCCTCCCGAGACAGGGCGAGAGAGAGAGGGGTCGAAATCACCTTGCGGAGAGCCCATCGCTCAGCTCCCTGGTTAGCTTTTCTATTTCTTTGATGATTTCTATTCCAAGTGCCCCCCCACCCCCACCCCGGCCCCTCATAGCGCATAACCGCGGACCCACGAGACGGTTCAACTTGTCTTCTTCCGTCGTGCTTTATTACAAGATAAGCTCAGTTTTTCTCGAGAAGTAGATTGTTTAGTTCTGGCTAAATTAGAGGGTGGCTTAATTTTTTTTTATTTCAATCTTCTGTTTGTTGGATTGTTGCTGTTGTTGTTATTTTCTTTTAAGAAAGGAAATAGCCATAGTCAGAATACTGGGTTTTACTTGCATTGAGTTTTAGGATTACACATGGGGGTGACTCGTGTTTTGAATGAGTTTGGATAAACTTGATGTACCTGTTCGCTTTTTTAGGTGGTGTGACCAATTTTTGAAAGCCGTTTTAATGAGAGGTCGTTAATACTTACTGCCTTTTAAAAATAAGCATTGTTTGCATAACAATAGTGCCAATGTATGGCATTCCTCTTGGCTCTGGACCTGCAGGAAAAGCATGCAGGCACACGTTTTGTTTAAGAAGGTCCCTAACTTCTTCCTAGGTTCTTTAAAGGTCTTAAAAATCAAGTGCGGCTACGGAGAGGATAGAATTCTCATAATTCGAAAGCGGTTGACTTTAGTCTATTGAGTGGACTTTCTTACAGTCCTTGAAAAAGACATTTACGATATGGATATGCAGTGGGTATCCCGGGATTTCATTTGGAGGCTCTTGCAGTTTTTTTTTTTCCCTCTAGCTAACCCTGCACTCTCTCTTTTCTCTTGTCTCTCCCCCCGCCCCCCAGTAGGAAAGACAACTGATTTATAGCTAATTGAAACCTTTAATGTGGAGTCTTTTAGCCCAGGAGAAACTTTTATCCAGTATCCACTTTCCCACTTATTACAAAGGAAAGCAGTCAGGAATGAAATAATGATTGTAACTTGATTCTTTAATTTGTGGGGAGGAGGCACCTTATTTGGGGCTTGACAAACAACCCTCATAAACACTTGAGTAATACTAATCTAAAGGCGAGCTCTTTTCACGGAATCTTGTAAAATCAGGTATCTGTGAACATTCCCTCCAGCTGGCCTCTTCCAGCTCCTTAGTGTGACTTCAGGAATTTCTGAGACAAGCTTCTGCGGCAAGTGTTTTTTTTCTTTTTAGCACCGAGAGCAGAAGCTGCTCTTTTGGTAGCTGAGTGGAATGGGTAATGATATTTCATTTAAAAGGAAAATACAGCAGAGAGATATATTTTGAAACCATTTCTCAGAAGCAAGGGAGGTGAACAACGTTAAGCAGAAGAATGAATAAGTAGAATAAATTGTTAGTGCTTTAGAACAGTGATACCACATTTAATAGGGATTTATTGAATGTCAATGTCTAAAGAATTATGCTAAAGGAGGGCTTGCTGAAGAACTCAGAGGAAACCAGTGCAATTTTTATGCTAGAAAAATGGTGTGAGACAGAGGAAGATGCTTTACAAGGAGTTTTCTTGTCTTCTTAAATGGTTGATGTTTTTAGTGATGTAATAACAGGTTCAGTTGCTTGATATGGTTTAGAGAGCAAGAGAAAAACCACCGCTTACATGTAACTGATCAGAATAGAAATGTTTCCTGTAGCGCCATGCACTTGTGAGCTTAGAGATTTTCTTTACTTCTCTCACTGCTACTCTTTCTTCTCAAAGTGTTTTGCATTTTTTATAAAGGGAGTGTGGAGAAGATCATCAGAAAAAAATGGAATTACCTTTGTTGCTGCCCAAATTGGAGTTTAATCTCCAAAGATACCACAATAGTGAAAACTAGTGTTTTTTGTAATGGTTTGGGAGCAACTATGTTTAGTTTTAAAAATAACCCTATCTTCTTGAACTTCCAATGCCCATTTTAATCAAATGATCAATTGCAGTACCGTCTTTGGAGTAAGTCTATTTGTATTTCCCTAAATCAGCAAGATAGACATCTACTTTAAAAAAATTATTCCTTATTAAGGAATATGTGTTTCAAAAGGTTGCATTAGCCAAGAAAGATGTCAACATGAAATCCCTTTGAGGCCGAGAGAATGTCTACTCTCTTTGCTGGTATCCTAAGAAGAATGCTCTACACAGGGTTCGGGTAGCTTTTAGCTCTACTTTTATGAATTAAATGATTTTATGACTTATGACTTTGTGACTCAGATTTTCTGAGTTGTTTCTGTTTGGTAATTTTGATGTTTGGAAGTTTTGTATAGCTAAATACATTAGAAGCGGATGTCCAGTATTGAATCAAGGCAAGCTTTTAACTAAGTAGCCCTAACTGCAGGAGGTATTTTCCAGATTCCCAGAAGGTATTTGAAAACTTTTTCTGTTTCTCTTCTCTATTGCCCTACCTTCTCTATTGTCTTCTGTCTTTTCTTCCCATTCCACTAGTTTCCACCCCTTCCCCCAGTGCTCTCTGCCTCTCTCTCAATCTCTCTCTCTCTCTCTCTCTCTCTCTCTCTCTCTCTCTCTCTCTCTCTCTCTCTCTCACACACACACACACACACACACACACACTGCTATTTCTTTGTTGATCACTTTCCTCATGAGTCTTTATGTCCATAATTTAACAGAAGCATAAAGGATTGTGTTTTCTTCCAGCATCTGTTTCTGTGGGGAGCTAAAACACAGAAAGGAAAGGGATGCTTAATAGAGTGCTGACCTATGTAACTAGAAAAGACAAGAAGGATTCAGCTGAAATTTTTGTGCTTATGTGCGTTAAATAACAACTGTTTAATCACTTACTCGCCTTCATTGAACATGGACTGATTTTGGTCAATTTCATTTCTGCTTAGAGGATATTTAAGTGATCCTATTCCTTAACAGTGCTTTGCATCTTACAAGCTGGGCTGTAGAAGCATCTGCTTTATGGGAGTTGGGGTATTAGAAGAAAGGTTGTTGCCTAAAATTGGTTGTCAGCATGGTGGTAATTTGATCAAGTTTATAACATAAACAGTCATACTTAGCTTACCATGCCACTTACACTTTCCTAGGAGGCCGACTAATGATTTATACAACACATTCATACCTTATCTCTCATTTGACCTCTCAAATCCTTTTGAAGGAGAGAGGGTAGAAATAAGTAAGAATAATTATAAGAGAAGATTCTGGCCTTGACTTAAAAAATTATACCTTTGTTTTCATCTTGTGCTTTGTTGTCCCAGACACCCACTTCTTTGAGAAACACAGATTCAGACATACAGAATTGAAATCTTCACTTTTAAATTGATTTTAATTTTTTTTAAAAAAAAACCTTTATTTTTTTGTATTGCTTCTCTTGTGATAATGGAGATAATACAAGCCAGTCCATATCTTTCAAGAAGTATGACCCTTGAATCTTTGACTTTACATCAGTGCTATGATATTTCTGGGGATTTTGTTTATTTGTTTAAAAAAACTGAGTGAGATTTTTGCCTCTTAGCAATTGTTTCTTAGAAAATGGCTTTGGGTCTAGAAGCTTCCACATTTCCGTGTCTTGACTACAAAGCATGTCTTAGCTAGAAGTAGTTCATGAAATTGTTACTAGAGAACCACTGATTTTTTAAAAATAAAAATTTACAATTATACTGAGTTTTGACATTCTTATTATCTCCATTTAGCTCAGGGAAGCTAACCAACTTCATGGTACATTTGAAAAAGTTCTTGATCCTGGGTTCTTGCCTGATTTCTTCCAGTTCCTGGCCATGTGACCATACAGAATTGCCTTTTGCCAAAAGATGCCTTGTCCTTTCTGTCTATAAAATGGAGAGTGATAGCTTTTATTTTTGTAGATAGAAAATTCTGAAGGAGCCTCTTTTGGGGGGGCTCCAACTTCCTTATAAGCGGGCGACATCATTCTCTGTTGAATAAGAGAAGCACAATGATCACGCCATGACCAAAACA